GGGAGGCTGAGGCAGAAGAATAGCGTGAACCCCGGAGGCGGAGCTTGCAGTGAGCAGAGATCGCGCCACTGCACTCCAGCCTGGGCAACAGAGCCAGACTCAGTTTCAAACAAAACAAACAAACAAACAAACAAACAAAAAATTACCATGAGGAAAATCAGGGGTTAAGGGGGGATTTCTGGCTAAATCCACCTAATAGGATTCTTGCTGAAAGCAGGCCAGGGTGATGAGACATCACCTGGGGGATGTTAGGGGAGGAGGAACCCAACCAGTTGTAGAGGATGACCAGATATTGAGAATGAGGCATTCAGGCTAAAGCGACTTACTAGGATTCTTGTGAGAATTGGACAATATAGAGATGAACATATGAGCTCCAAAATCAGGGCCTAGTTGAGAAATCAGAGGGGTCTGACTAGAGATAAGTCAAGAAGAGAATCTTCATTAACCATTTGACTTTATTCAAGATTGCTAAATTGCTCATTAGCAAGGTACGATTGTTTCTCTCTTTTTTTTTTTTTTTTTTTGAGACAGTCTCACTCTATCACCCAGGCTGGAGTGCAGTGGCACGATCTCCACTCACTGCAAGCTCCGCCTCCCAGGTTCATGCCATTCTCCTGCCTCAGCCTCCCGAGTAGCTGGGACTACAGGCACCCGCCACCACACCCGGCTGATTTTTTGTATTTTGTAGTAGAGACAGGGTTTCACCGTGTTAGCCAGGATGGTCTCCATCTCCTGACCTCGTGATCCGCCCGCCTCGGCCTCCCCAAGTGCTGGGATTACAGGCGTGAGCCACTGTGCCTGGCTGATAGTTTATCTTTTTTCGTATCCACACCAACACTTGGTATGAGAAAGTTTACATTTGCAAATATATTTTGAAGCGATATTTCATCCTTTAACTTGCATTTACTTGTAGCTAATGAAACTTGTGCAGCTCTTCTATCTTATTGGTCATTTGGGGTTCCTCTTTGGTTAACTGTATGTTTAATATCGCAAGCTGATATGTGGTATTGTATTTCTTAAAAAAAATTAATTTCTGCTGGATGTGGTGGCTCATGCCTGTAATCCCAGCGCTCTGGGAGGTGAGGTGGGCGGATCATGAGGTCAGGGGTTTGAGAGCAGCTATATAGAGTATGTTGCTTTTTTTCTCTATGGCTTCAGTAACACTGGGCATTTCCAGTGATGGTGGAAAATGGTGAGAACCAGATATTGCATATCAACGTTACTATTATTCGTTTTAAATTATAGAGAAGAGGTCTCACTAAATTGCCCAGGCTGGTCTTGAACTCCTGGCCTCAAGCAATCCTCCTGCATCAGCCTCCCAAAGTGCTGGAATTATAGGTGTGAGCGACCGTGCCTGGCCCATGCTAACATTTTTAATGCAAGTAAAGTGTGCCATTGTATGAATGTTCGTCGTTAATTGAGCCAATTATCTTGTCTTCTAGTTTTGGCAGTTATAAGCATTGTTTCGATCATTAGCTTTTAAACTATGTATTCTTGCTTGTTTTTAACTTTTTCCTTAGGATAAATTTCTGACAGTTGAATTGTGGAAGAAAAAAGTATTTTTATTTTTATTTTTATTTTTATTTTATTTATTTATTTTTGAGATGGAGTCTCACTCTGTCACCCAGGCTAGAGGGCAGTGGTGCAGTCTCGGCTCACTGCCAGCTCCACTTCCCAGGTTCATGCCATTCTCCTGCCTCAGCCTCCCGAGTAGCTGGGACTACAGGCGCCCACCACGCCTGGCTAATTTTTTGTATTTTTAGTAGAGACGGGGGTTTCACCGTGTTAGCCAGGATGGTCTTGATCTCCTGACCTCGTGATCTGCCCACCTCGGCCTCCCAAAGTGCAGGGATTACAGGTGTGAGCCACCGCGCCCGGCCAGTATTTGTGGGGTTTTTTTTGTTTTTTTTTTTTTTACAGTATTTGTATTTTTAAAGCTGTGAATACATATAGACAAAACACTCTTCAGAAGGGGCATGCTTTTCTGGAACATCAGCAAGGCACAGGAAGGAACATCTCTAATCTCTTTTATTTTGAGACTGAGTCTTGCTTTGTTGCCCAGGCTGGAGTGCAGTGGCTGGATCTCAGCTCACTGCAAGCTCTGCCTCCTGGGTTCAAGCGATTCTCCTGTCTCAGCCTCCCAAGTAACTGGGATTACAGGCATGCACCACCACGCCTGGCTAATTTTTTGTGTTTTGAGTAGAGACGGGGGTTTTACCATGTTGGCCAGGCTGGTTTCGAACTCCTGACCTCAGATGATCCACCTGCCGTGGCCTCCCAAAGTGCTAGGATTACGGAGGTGAACCATCGCGCCTGGCCCAACTCTAATGTTTGGAATCTAATCTATCTGGAGGACTACACCTTTATTTTGTATTTTTCTTTCTTTATTTTCTTTATCTATCTTTACAGTACTTTGAGTTGCTGTTTAAGAAAACTACACCTTTAATTGCCTCTACCAGGCTGAGTGCATCCAAGTATGACTGTCTATGGAAAACAAGTTCAAACAGAATTCTTAAACAATACCACTTTTACACATCGTGCTGTGGTTGAGGTCCAAAATCTGAAAGATTTTTATTTCAACTGTAGCTGATCCATGAAAATTGAGGATAATTTTTTCCTTTTTTTTTCGAGATGGAGTCTTGCTCTGTCACCCAGGCTGGAGTGCAGTGTGCAGTGGCCGGATGTCTGCTCACTGCAACCTCTGTCCCCAGGGTTCAACCGATTCTCCTGTCTCAGCCTCCCGAATAGCTGAGACTACCTGCACGTGCCACCACGCCCAGCTAATTTTTGTATTTTTAGTAGAGACGGGGGTTTCACCATATTGGCCAGGCTGGTCTCGGACTCTTGACCTCAGGTGATCCGCCCACCTTGGTCTGTCGAAGTGCTGGGATTACAGGTGTGAGCCACCGCGCCCGGCTTAGCGTGGATTTTTGAATCTGAGGGTTTCATACCACAGTGGATGGAGTGTGGCCAGGGCGGGGTGTTTTAGTTTGGAAAACTAACCTGCACATGTACCCCCTGAACCTAAAAGTTTTTTTTTTTTTAAGGAAAACATTTCAGTTGTAAATTCGAAGAGGAAATTCTGTTAGGTTCAATCACTTTGCATTTTGGAATGCAGTTGGCATCTCCCGTTTCTTTGTGGCATAACGGTTGACCAAAATAGGTTCAGGTCTCATTGAGACAGGTTTTGAAAACGCTTTTTAAAATTTTTTTCCTGGAAAACAAATGACCAAAGTAATTGCTGTACCCGCAAAAGGTAAATATATTTCGATTAGTCTCTGCAGACACCTGATTCTTACACTGACACTCGAGTCTGGGCGTGAGACGTGAGCGCTAAACCCTTCTGGGGTAGCGGGAAGCTAGGCCTGGGCGCCCCTTAAACCCCGCCTCCGGCAGATGAGCCCACTAGACCGCATGCGCAGGGGGTGCGCCCGCGCCGGACCCGCCCAACTCTTCCAATCCGAAAAGGGCGGAGTCTGTTACAGGCCCCGCCCCCTAGTTAAGGTGTGCGCGTGGCTGGGGCTGGTCTTCCGCCTGGTGAGGGGCTACTTCCGGGTCGGACGGCGCAAGGTGCAGCAGCCGAGTGTGGTAGTGCTTGGCTGGCCGGCGGGCTGGGCGGCTGGCCGGCGGGCTGGGCTGCGGCCCGTGCGCGCCCGGCGATGCAGGGGGGCAACTCTGGGGTCCGCAAGCGCGAAGAGGAGGGCGACGGGGAGGGGGCTGTGGCTGCGCCGCCGGCCATCGACTTTCCCGCCGAGAGCTCGGACCTCAAATATGACGGTGAGGGATCGGATTGCGGTGTCGCCGCTCTGCTCTCTCTGTCCACCCGCGTTTGCGGGCGGTATAGGCAGCCCTGAGGTTTGCCTGAAGACCCGGGTGAATTCGGCTGCCTCCAGGGTTGAACCGGGGGACCAGCCGCGCAGTGCTGGGGGGCGGCGGGCGGGCCGTCGGGGTAAGGTAAATATTGTTTGAAAAGGACGTCTGCTTCTCGCTCCTTTGTTTACATTTCTGTTCCTTGGTTTCCTCTCTGGGGACTGAGGCCCTCGGACGGCTGGGGGCATCCCTGAGGTCACCGTCCTGCCCCCAAGCCCTGGGTTTTGTCATTGGTTGAGAACGATCTTCTTTCGTTGCAGCGAGAATTTGCAAACTGTAAGCTGAATAGTTTGGGTTAAGAGTTGTAATTTGTAACTTTTCTTGTCTTTTGCTTAACTGGAAGGAGAACTAAAGATTTCTCATAGTGAGGCAGCGTGGAAATAAATAAACGTCTTTGGTTTAAAGAATAAAAAGGCCCAAGTTTTTTTTTTGGAGACAGTCTTGCTCTGTCACCCAGGCTGGAGTGCAGTGGCACAATCATAGCTCATTGCAGCCTCCAACTCCTGGGCTCAAGTGATCCTCCAGCTTCAGCCTCCCGAGTAGCTGGGACCACAGGTGCACACCACCATGCCCAACTAATTTTTTAATTTTTTTTTTTTTTGCAGAGATGGGGTCTTGCTGTGTTCCCCAGGCTGGTCTCGAAAGCCTGGCCTCAAGCGATGCTCCCGCCTCGGCCTCCCAAAGTGCTGGGATTATAGATGTGAGCCACCACTCTCAGCCCCCAAGTTTTCTTGAGGCCTTTGGTTACTAGGAGATATGGGGTAGCTAAGTTACTTAGCATAGAGTAAGAGATGCTTGACATTGACTCTAGGTAAAAGTGTCCACTATTTTGATGAAAGTGAAATACAGTCTTTAGTTGCTGCCAGATGTTTTAGCAATATTAAAAATTAAATGGTGCTATTAAGAATGAATACATTGGCCGAGTGGGGTCACGCCTGTAATCCCAGCACTTTGGGAGCCTGAGGTGGGCGGATCACCCGAGGTCAGGAGTTCAACACCAGCCTGGTCAACCCCCTCTCTACTAAAAATATAAAAATTAGCTGGGCGTGGTAGCGGGCGCCTGTAATCCCAGCTACTTTTGAGGCTAAGGCAGGAGAATCGCTTGCTTGAACCCAGGAGGCGGTGGTTGTAGTGAGCCGAGATCGCACCACTGCACTGCAGCCTGGGAGACAGAGGAAACTCCGTCTCAAAAAAAAAAAAAAAAAAAGAATACATTGATTCAGGGATTTTTTTTTTTCTCTTTTTTATGGAATGCTTCAGGAATTTGTGTTTCATTCTTGTGCGGAAGCTGTGTTAATCTTCTCTGTGTCATTCCAGTTTTTAGTATATGTGCTGCTGAAGTTTTTAACTATATGGTAATTCCAACAGAATGACTACAGAGAATACACATTGATTTGAAGCATGAAACAAAAAAAAAATGTGTTGCAATTGAGTTAAAGGTACAAATTGTTTCTGTAAGAGAAAGCATATGAGAAAAAATAAAGATGCAAACTGAGTTGAAATGGTTTTGATTCAGATAGAGTAAATACATGGAAATGTTGTTGCATTTTTATCCTTAATACTACCTGTAATTTTTTTTTTTTTTCTTAAAGAGATGGGGTCGTCTGGGAGATTGCAGTGAGCTGAGATCGTGCCATTGCACTGCAGCCTGGGTGACAGAGTGAGACTCTGTCTAAAAAAAAAAAAAGATGGGGTCTTCTTTTGTTGCCCAGTCTGGTCTCAAACTCCTGGGCTCAGCGGATCCTCCTGCCTCAGCCTCCCAAAGTGCTAGGATAGGCGTGAGCCACTGTGCCCAGCCACGCCTATAATTTTTGACCATAAAGAGAAACAAAAGCAGAGTGTGGTAGTAATTGCAGTAGGCTATTAACAGAAGAAAATTTTAAAAACTATTTTTTAATGGACAAACAACTTTTCTCCCACATATAAGGTAGTATATTATAGCCCAATAATATAGAAAGTGTTATGTCATGGGAAAAGTCCCAGCTGTAAACATGCGAGTGTCTTTTCTGTAACATTGTGATAAGGGTTTCTGCACACTAAAGATTATTCTTGAAGGGAGTGATCTTAGATAAGCTTTTAAAATTTTTCTTTTCCTGGGTTACCGATAATACTGTTGTGTTGACATATGGCCTTTTCTTCCAAAGAGGCCCAGAATGTCCAGCCAGAGTTTATGTTTTTTTGGATTTTTTTGTTTTTTTTTTTTGAGATGAAGTCTCACCGTGTCGCCCAGGCTGGAGTGCAATGGCGCGATCTCGCCTCACTGAAACCTCTGCCCTTCCAGGTTTAAGCAGTTCTCTGCCTCAGCCCCCAGAGTAGCTGGAATTACAGATGCCTGTCACCACACCCAGTTAATTTTTTGTATTTTTAGTAGAGACGGAGTTTCACCATCTTGGCCAGGCCGGTCTTGAACTCCTCACCTTGTGATTCACCTGCCTCGACCTCCCAAAGTGCCAGGATTACAGGTGTGAGCCACCGTGCCTGCCCTTTTTTTTTTTTTTTTTTTT